TGCCGGCGGGAACCAGCCAATGGCCAGGACAGGGGGTGGGACCGTCGTGCCAGGAGTGCGCATGCGTACTTTGAGTAAGCGCCTGAAGCTAAAATTGAATGGGTTAAGTTGAATTAAAGAGAAAAATAAACGAAGGCAATGAAATAAGGAATTTCCTTTTGCAAGGAAGAGCAACCATTTAAACCATACGTCTCCCGTCTCCGGTGCAGTTTACTAAAAAGTAAGAGGTGCTCACCAATAGTTGTAGATGGCCTAATTTTAGAGCAGAAATAAAATGTGCGCCTTTAGCAATACATTGCCACACGAAAAGCAGAAATGCAAACAGATCCTGCACCTTTTGGATAGGGGATCTCATCTACTCACAGGAGAGAAAGTTCCAGAGGGATACTTTTTTTTCTTGGTTTTTCGAGACAGGGTTTCTCTGTGTAGCTTTGGAGCCTATCCTGGCACTCGCTCTGGAGACCAGGCAAGGGATACTTTAAGCATGATCGTAAACACAAATTGATGTGGGGGTTGTTGGTTCTCTTTTTCGTGCCTCACAGATAAAGGCGAATATGCGGTGGTGGTACACACCTTTAATCCCAGCACTCGGGAGGCAGAGGCAGGGGTATTTCTGTGAGTTCGAGACCAGCCTGGGCCACAAAAACTAGTTCAAGAACAGCCTCCAAAGCTACACAGAGAAAACCACTCTCGCAAAAAAAAAAAAAAAAAAAACAAAAAAAGAAAAAAAAAAAAAAAAAAACCCTTTTCAAAAAAAAAAAAAAAAAAAAAAAAGAAAAAGAAAGAAAGAAAGAAAAAAACCCTGTTTCCTATAAATAGACAGACTAATTACTTAATAGGATTTTTTTTTTTTTAAGTTAGAAGTAATGCTCAGAAAGGCAATGAGGACAGCCAAACTGCCCTTTCTTCCTTATTGGATTTTTGTAAAGTTATATTTATTTATTCTTGGGGGTGTACATGCCACATGTGTGGAGATCAGAACACAGCTTTTGGGAGTCTGTTCTCTCTTCTACCATGTGAACCCCAGGGATCAAGTTCAAATCTTTCCGATGGGCATCTTTACCTGCTGAGCCATCTAGCCAGCATTTACCTTCCTGTATTGTTTTGTTCCGTTTTAATAATATATAAGTGTTAGGTCTCAAGGAAAGCCAGGATAAATGGCTCACTGAGGTACCTATTAACATATCAAAGTGGATGCTTGCTATCTCTTCCAACATCACTCAGTACCTGTGGCTCCCAGCACTTCTCACCTTGCCCCAGACCCTCATCCTCTCCAGTCCAAGGGCTGGGCTTCCCTTCCCCTAGCGTCAGATGTGGTGATATATTGTTTATGATTTATTAAAGCCACTGGAGATCAAAATAGCAAAGCAGCCATAGAAGCCAGGCCAGTGGTGGCACACACCTTTAATCCCAGGACTCAGCAGACAAAGGCAGATGGATCTCTCTGAGTTCAGGGCCACCCAAGGCTACACAAGCCTAAGAGAGTAATAAAGCTCACACCTTTAATCCCAGAACTCATGAGAGGTATTTCAGGCAGGAACAGGGTCTGAGAGCTGGCATTCATTCTCCAGCCACATTGAGGATGGGAAGGCATTCATTCTCCAGGCACTCTAGGAGAGGCAGCAGTCTGAGGCTTGGTGAGAGCTAGTGGAGACAGGACTGACCCTTTCAGCCTGAGGTAGAGGTAAGAGTTAGTGGCTTTGCTGCTTTTCTTTTTTTTTTTTTTTTTTTTTAAATCTCTGGTGGCTTTAATAAATCATAAACAATATATCATCACAATTCCTCTATATAACTCAGTCATTTTGGCTACAAGACTTCATGGTCTCCTGGCTCCCTCTTGGCCTCTTACTCTGTGCCCCCCACCCCCACACACACACTCACACCATGGCCTAATCTATTCTGTTGATCATGTTTAGTCTGGACTTCCAGATGTCTCTGGCTGTTTTTTCTCTAATATTTACAATAAAACCTTTTCCTCAACTATATCTAGGAATGGTCATGTCCTTGTTTTCATTCAATAAAGTAATTTAAAAGTTGAAAGAAGAGCTGGACATCGTGATACATGCCTTTAATCCCAACACTCGGGAGGCAGAGGCAAGTGGATCTCTGTGACTTTGAGGCCATCCTGGTCTACAAATTGAGTTCCAGGATAGCCAGGTCTGTTACACTATCCACTCTCCAAATTAACTCTATATTGCCATATCATTCATGAAAGAAATGTATACTGTAGGCAATCACTGCAAAACACATTCAAGGATATTGCTGACTCCTGAGTGTATTAACTTTATATATATATATATATATATATATATATATATATATAATTATTATTATTTAAGACAGGGTTTCTCTGTGTAGCCCTGGATGTCCAGGAACTGTCTCTGTAGGCCAGGCTGACCTCAAACTCAGAGATCCAACTGCCTCTGCCTCCCAAGTGCTGGGATTAAAGGCACTTGTAAACATGTGTATATGCGCGCGTGTGTGCACGCGCGCGCGCGCGCACACACACACACACACAGAGAGAGAGAGAGAGAGAGAGAGAGAGAGAGAGAGAGAGAAATAAGATATAATTTAAAATAATTTAAGATAATAAACAGTCCCTATCTTGGGACGCTGAAGGGAGTACTGCACAGGCCCTGGGAAGGCCGTTCTCTAGTGGTGAGGACACTGAGACTCCCAGAAGCTCTGTGGCTTGCTCAGGGGTGTCCATCTCTACACTTCCATCATGCTGGAGAGGAACTGGTTCCTAGACTGAGCCAGGAGCCAGAAAAACCAAGAGAGTCTTATCTTTCCATGCCCAGGACCCCTACTGGACTTTCCTGGGTAACTAGAAGCCAGAGAAGTGATGGGGAAAGCAGCTAGGGTGAAGCAGAGGCTCCTGGGAATCCCCCACCATTCTCTGGTCTCCTAATGCCTCCCCAACACTCTGCCACAAGGCTGCCAACAGAGGAATTTCCCCAAACCCAAGTCTGAACATGTCCTGAGAGCGATTTACACTCCCAGAGAATGGGCATTCCACATAAGAGCTATGTGTCTGCCTCAGGAGGAGCCAGGACAGCAGGTATTTAGGAAGCTGCCATGTTCTCAAAATGGCTGGGACACAGGAGAAATGCATAGGACAGAGGAGGCCTTGCCTATAGGACCTCATTTCTTTTTTCATACACACTAATATGTGTGTGTGTATGGTGCATGTACGTGTTTGTACGGCTGTGTGCATGTGCACATGGGAGCATTTGAACATGATGGGGGTGGTCCTACATGTGGATGTCAGAGGTGATTGGGTTCCTGTCTCTTCCTTGATTACCCTCTCTACTGTGTGTTCCTGTGTGCGTGTGTATGTACATGTGCGTGTGCGTGTGCGTGTGCGTGTGCGTGTGTGTGTGTGTGTGTGTGTGTGTGTGTGTGTGCATGAACACCAGAGAGACACTGTATACTTGTAGAGTTCAGAAGACATTTGTAGGAGACAGTTCTCTCCTTCCACGATGTGGGTCCCATGGTGGAATTCTGTTGGTCAGGGTTGGCAATGAGCTCCTTTACCACTGAGCTCTCTCATCAATCTCAAAGTTTTGTTAGTGTTTTTGAGACAGGGTCTCATTATGTAGCCCTGGCCTGGCTCACAGAGATCTTCCTGCCTCAGTCTCCCAAATGCTAGAGTGAAAGGCATGTGCCAAATCCAGGGCTGCACTCTTCATAAACCACTTTAAAATTTTCATTATTCCTGTAGTTATTTCTGTGTGGCTGTGTGCATGCCATGGTGAGCATACAGAGGTCAGAGGGCAACTTCATGGAGCCAAGTGTCTCTTTCCACCTTTTTGTGGTTCCAGAGTGGGACTCAGTTTGGTGGGCTTTCTTTCATTGCAAGCACTGCTTACTCTAAGGCAACAGCTCTCAACCTGTGGGTCTCAATGCCTTTGGAGGGGGTCAAAGGACCCTTTCACAGGGGTCACCTAAGACTATTGGAAAACACAGATATTTACATTACAATTCATAATAGTAGCAATATTACAGCTATGAAGTAGAAACAGAAATGACTTTATGCTTAGGGGTCACCACATCATGAGGAACTATATATTAAAAGGCCACAGCATTGGGAAGGCTGAGAACCACTGCTGTGGGCCATGTCATCAACCCTCTACTACACATTCTGAGACAGGGTCTCTCATCGACCCTGACTGATTTGTCTAGGTTGGCTGGTCAGTGTGCTGCATGGATCTGCCTGTCTGTGCCTCCCCGGGGCTAGAGTTCCAGCTATGCTGCCACGCCTGCTTTTTATGTGGATGTTAGAAATTCAAATTCAGCCAGGCGTTGGTGGTACACGCTTTTAATCACAGCCCTCAGGAGGCAGAGGCGGGCAGATCTCTGTGAGTTTGAGGCCAGCCTGGTCTACAGAGTGAGTTCCAGGACAACCTCCAAAACAATGCAGAGAAACCCTGTCTCGAAAAAACAAAAACAAAAAAATAAATTCAAACTCAGCAAGTACATTAGCCATTGAGCTACGTTCTCAGGCTTTATACAACCTCATTTTATCCCCTGGTACAGTTAAAGCAACTGAGGTGGGGCCAATGACAAACCTCAGGCTATGTGACTAGGGAGTAGGGCCACCAGAACTGAAATGTCTTTCCCCAGCTTCTCTCAGATGAAACCGGTGTGGTCCTCAAATGACTGCCAGCTTTTAACACTTCTTATCTGCAGGGAGTAGTCTTGATCCCTGGGTTCCGGAAGCAGTGTCCTTACTCTTCCAGGCTAGTTTGTAGGTGCCACAGATGTCTGGAAAGTCCTTTGTGGTAGGCATTTGTCCTGTGAACTTTGCCAGATGCTGAGTGGTACCCT